AATTTTATTTAGTTTAATTTTTTTTTAACTTATTTACTTGTTTTATATTAGGTGGCTTCTGAATTTTGACCTCTTTATACAAGTTTGAAAATAGCTGTTACTAATCGCCATGCATGATTATTTAAATTTGCTCTTAAGATATAATGTACTTAATCTCAGAAGTTTAAAATAAAACACAAAGCAGCACCTTTTCTATTTCTTAATTGGATTAATTTGTGTTATGAAGGGAAACTCTCCTTCAGGAACGAGAGATATTAGAAGAAAATGCTGAATGTCGTTTGGCTATCTTCAAGGATTTGGTTGGTAAATGTGACACTCAAGAAGAACCAACAAATGGAGGTTGTGCCATGAAAGTTGAAACTGAAGTATGTTAATTGAAATATTTAAAAAATCTAGTGTGATTTTGGTACCAGGATTTAGTATATCATGTCAATGTGAGAAACACCAATTTAGTTTAGAATTAAAACAATACTTATTTTGCAGCTTTATTATAATCAGACATGTTTTATTAGGAATATAAGCACAAGTAGTTAAATATAGCCATTGAGCTTTGAAAAATATATATCATATATCTCTGTTACATTTATATCTCATTTTGGTATTGCTTGAGTCATTGTATTGATTGTAGACAGATTCCTTTTTGTCTGATTATGAGATACCCCTTTTAGCTTTATCTTAAACTTTATAATTTTTATTTTTAGATGTATGGGAGACCTAAGAGGACATTTACTTACTGTTCTGATTAAAACAAAAATGTTTATACATAAAAAGGATTGCCCTTGCTGGGCAACTACCATTCCCTACTCTTAAGGAAAAATTATCTTTTTCTGTTGCTTCTACTAAAGCTGAAATTGATCACTTTTTTAGGGGATTGTTGATTTTTGGTTTATTTTTTAATCACTCAGTTTAGGGGCCTGTGATAGTGGTGTCCAGGCTCTTGCTGTCAAACCACCCTTATGTATCCCAGACATGCTTTGGGACTTGGACTGAATCGTGAACATGGAGATTGGTTTCCTGAGGTATTCTAACAAACTCTTTTCAGGGTTATTATATAATTGAAACTATACTGATCTAGGTAATCATAATTATTCCATAGCGACTTATCACAGATTATGACCTTTTTTTAATGGGGAAATATGCCTCATGGTACATACAACAGACAGTGAATGATGGTATACAATTTTTTGTATAATTGAGGATGCTTCTATTTAATTTATGTTAAAGAATTTCAAGTTGCAAATTTTTTGCTGTTTTTAAAACTGTCTACGTTAGATGGTACCACATGTAAGGGTGAAACACACTATTAATGTTAGACATGTGGTTTTTGCTATTTTTAGGAAAAACATGATTATGTAGGATTTGAAGATATTATTGATTCTCTTCAAGATAATGTCGCTGATATTAAGAAACAGGCTGAAATTGCTCACTTATATATTGCATCTCTTGCTGACCCCCAGGAAGCTCTTGCATGTTTAGAACTAAAGTTTAATCACGTTAAGGCTGAATTAGCTAAAACCAAAGAAGAATTAATCAAAACCAAAGAAGAGCTCAAAAAGAGAGAAAATGGTAAGTGGGTGTATTTTATCCCTATTTAGATATTGTAAGCACATAAAAAGTACAGTTCGTAAATATAAGAGATTTATGCAGCTTATTTACTGTAGTGACTAGAATATTTTTTAATCAAGGTAACATTTTAATATTGTACCATTTGTGTGACTTTATAGTAATTTACTACTAAAAATATTTTTTTATCATTTACTTTTAGACCAGTGTTATTAGAAAATGGACTTCTCAAAAAAAAAAAACCAAACCAAGTGTTAGCTTTATAAGTAAATTAAGAAATCTCATAGGAAATTGTAGAGCTGTAAATTTTGTTCTGTATTCTTTATGAACTCATGTAGGAGATTATGCTCTGGGTTTGCTAGCTTGAGACAGAGTGGCTATTGTAGAGTGGTTTAAAGTAGTTTGTTAGATTGATGCTTCCTTCTAATTCTGAGAGCATTTTATATATGTGTATATGTATATCTATGATTGTGACATCTGGGTTTTAAGAGTTGAATGAAATACTCTGTTTTTTTTTTTTTTTTTTTTTTTTTTAATAAAACAGGATGGGTAGAAAATAGCAGCTGAGTGGTAACCTTGCATTATGAAGTAGACCAGGAAGGCTCCTTTTCTTCTATGATGTTATGCCAGAAGTTCTTTATTTTTTGCATATTGTCACTCATTTTTATTCTGAGTTGTAAAAGTGACTTTTTCTGAAACATTACCCTCTTATGGTTGGATTAGCAGTTGAGTGCTGTGTACTTCTAATACTGTCAAAATCCTTTTTCTTGAATGTAACAATAGTTAAATTATCTATTACAGCAGCTTATGTTGCATATTTATTCAGTGATACATTAATATTTTTGGGAATGCTTAGATATTTATTTTCAATATACTTTATTTTTTCAGAATCAGATTCTTTGGTTCAAGAGCTCGAAACATCTAATAAGGTAATACTTTAAGCTTTATTTTGTTTTGATAAGGAACTTTATAATTAAGTAAATGAAGGCATGAATTATGACTTGGTTCTATTGTATTATTTTTTCTGCTCTTTTCTGGCTTGAGTCTTCTTATTTTAACTTTACATATATCCTTTTAAAGAGCTGAATATTTCAAGATATGATCAGATATAAATAATTCAAGTTCTTGGTACCTATCTAGTATTTAAAGAACAAAACCAAGATAATGTACTTAGAAGACATTACAGCTACTGTTTAGACAATTCCTATGTTTTTAAAAATTTTTTCTACTTATGAAAATAGTAGACACTAATTGTATAAATTTAATTATATTAAACTAGGTGAAATAGAAAATAAAAATGTCCCCGTAATCTTCCTCCTAACTTAAAAAGAAAAACAAAATCAACAAGTTGGTTGGAAGCTCTTTTAGACTTTTACTTTATATATATTTATATTTATAGAACACTTACTACTTACCAGGGACTTTTTTAAGTGATTATTATTAACTCATTAAATTTCAGAACAGCTTTATGATATAGATACTATTATAATTTTTTACTTTTACAGAGAGGTTAAATAACTTGCCCAGGGTGGCATAGCTAGAAGGTAGAGAAGCTAGGATTCAAAAATTCAAACCCAGAAGGTCTGGCTTCAGATTCCTTTTACCTTATGTGCTATATCTGCTTCTCTTTTCTTTGTATATATAAACATGTTATTGTTTTAAGCAAGAATAAGATCATGCTATGCATAGTGTATTTATTTTTATGTAATTGTACAATTTGAAGGAATTTTAAAACTGCTAATGTTTGCATTCTAGTTATCCCAAAATATATTCACTAAACATTGCTATTTTTCTTCTTTCCAAAGAAAATAATTATGCAGAATCAAAGAATTCAAGAATTGATAGATATAATTGATCAAAGAGAAGACACTGTCAACAAATTTCAGAACCTAAAGTTTCATATGGAAAACACATTAAAAGACAATGTAAGAATTTAACTTTGCATTATAAATTAGATTTAAAAATCCTATGTTTTGGTTTAAAGTAAATAGTTTAAAATAGCTTGTGCAACTAAGACTAATTTATTGAAAATGTTGAATTGCTTATCTTGACATTGAATTCAACCTACTATTGTGCAAATCTGAATTTTTTAGAACTTAGAAGAGGACATTTGACTTCTTTGAACATAATATCTCACGAAGTATGCTGGCAGTGCTTTGCGTATAAAGAGAAAAAAAGGGCCGAGCGCGGTGGCTCACACCTGTAATCCTGGCACTCTGGGAGGCCGAGGTGGGCGGATTGTTTGAGCTCAGGAGTTCGAGACCACCTGAGCAAGAGTGAGACTCCGTCTCTACTAAAAATAGAAAGAAATTAATTGGACAACTAAAAATAAATAGAAAAAGTTAGCTGGGCATGGTGGTGCATGCCTGTAGTCCCAGCTACTCGGGCGGCTGAGGCAGAAGGATTGCTTGAGCCCAGGAGTTTCAGGTTGCTGTGAGCTGGGCTGACACCATGGCACTCACTCTAGCCTGGGCAAAAGAGTGAGACTCTGTCTCAAAAAAAAAAAAGAGAAAAAAAGAATATGTAGCCCTTGAAAGTTTAGGCTTCAGCTAGTTGGAATGGGAGCTCTGAGGAAAAAGGAACTTAGATATACTTAGACAACCGGATTATAATGATCCAGGGAACTATAAACTATATGAAGTTCAGTAGAATTAGGTTTTTTCCTTAGAAGCTTGTTTTTATTATATGCATTATTGCTATTTTTCATATGTTTAATAGCAAAGATATTTTTATTAAAAAATTACATTATGTGTTGTGACATGTAAAAAACCTTTAAGGGTTTTTGGCCTGTCATACAAATTTAGGTAATTTCATGTTCAGTTAGTTTAGGCTAGGCTGATTAGCTTATCTTTTAATCCCTTTTAAAAACGGTTTTTGGTTTTCTATTTTTTTATTGTAATCACCTTTAAATTATTTTTTGATATACAAGTGGTAGAATATATGGTAATAACATAGTAGGCTGAGTAAACTAATAGCCAAACATCTTTGCTTTGTTAAAAGGTGCTTTTGTACGTCTTTTCTATGACCAGAAGAGGCAAGAGTGGTATCTTATAAAAAGTGACTATTGAGCCTCCTTCCTATCTTGACAGAGAAATGAGACTGGTAGTGGTAGAATAGGATAAGATGGTGGAGAGCCTTTGAATATTGCATTAAAGAGTTTGGGGAGGCATTGGGGTATTGTTATTTTAAATAGAGGAATAGCAAAGTTGAGGTTTTTGATTGAGTAGATATTTTTGGAAACTTGGATGGAATTAAGATGGTATTCAACTAGAGGCAGAGAGACCAGTTAGCTATTTCTTGGAAGAGTTGAGGTGATAGTTGATGAGGATTTGATTTAGGGTAGCGGTGGTGGAGAATAAGAGGAAATTGCTTAGTGCAATAAGGGGAGGTAAGACTTTTGGGACTTGGGCCTGACTTTTTCCATTAACTTAAATTACTGGGCCTCCAGGCTCTCAGAACTTTTATTTGGTCTAACCTCTTGATCTGGATTTTAAGTCTAGTCTTTGGTATGAAGGAAGATAAAAGAAAAAGGGAAAGGCAGAGACAGATCACTTCTGGGGACTACAACTTCAAAGAAAATAGTTGGAAATTTCACATGGGATTTTATTTATTTCGATAGTATGTTTGTGTACCACAGTGTGTTAGCAATGTTTAAGAAATAGTAAAAAAAAAAAAAAAAAAAAAAAAAAGCAACATAAAAAAAGCAATATTTTAAATTTAATTATTCCTTACCTTAAATAAACTTTATAAATAGGTTCTAGACCTTGTTTTATCAACAAACTTCAAACATTCTGCCAAATTTAAATTGTTCACTTAAATACATAAACGCAAAATAATTTGGAACTTACCTGACTGTGCTGATTAACAGTTGATCTAGGATCACTCTTCCAAAGCTTGTCCTGAAAGTTTTTCCAATGACACAAAACTTTATTTTGAATGGTTGTTCTTTTATCCTTTCTTTTCCCACCCGAGCATATCCTGTAAACAGAAAATCCTTCTTTCAATAACTGACTTCTGGAGTACAGACCAGGTCTTTCTGATAGGTGCTAAGAGTGGGGGAGGGGCAACTTGAACCTGTTGTGGAGCTCTGTCAGAGGTGTGATCTTTCTGTCCCAGGATTTTGTCACTTAACAGTTATACTACAGGACTTAGTGTGAGAAAGCATGGACATTGTTCTTTATGACGTTTGTTCAGGAATATCTAAAAAAAACTTTGCTTTTTAAAAAAAAAACAACTCATGATTTTATGACTTAAAAAGTTACGTTATCTGTATCTCCAGGAAAGAAAATGTTTGCTGATTTTATGCTATAAAATGGTACTTTTTGTTTTGCCATATACTTCTTTTCCCCAAAATAGATTGCTACAAGTCCCTGCCTTTACCATACTTTTGATTATTTTATAGACTTTGACTTAACTGTTGAGTTTTACCCTTCTTCTTTCTGTTTAAGTCCATATTGTATACCCTTTTTTCTGCTAGCTTTTTTTTTTTTTTTAATTATTTAAGACCTTTATTAACAGGTGCTTGCAGTTTGTTGACTTTTTTGAAAAAATCAAGTTGTAAACTTTTATTACAAATTAAAAATGAAGTTCTTAAAAATCTCAACTTGACCAGATATGAAACAATTTAAAAACCTTTAAAGGCGTATTGAGAAAAACCAGGCTTTTTTAAAAAAACATGTTTGTTATTACCAAAAAAGACATCTTTAGGTAAAAATAATAAAAACCCCATGCTGCATAAATAATGCAGATAGTTCTAGTTATCTGGTCAACGGGCAAAAAGCAAGCACTTAAGGTCTTCAGCTCCAATCTTTCCTTCATTTCTTATTGCTGGAATTTCATATTCATTTCTTCTTGTTGGATGACTAAACCGGACGATGGTAGAGATGGTAAGCCGACATTTACTCAGCCCCGCCCTGCTCAGCCTCAGGAGCCTCGGGAGCGGATGAATTCTCAGCTGGTGGATCAGGAGACAGTCTGTGCCTTAAAAAATAAAAGTGTAAATGACTGGTCTAGAAGCTCAGTTTTAAAGCTTATATGTAGAATACATATAGTGTAAAAGCTAAGGTCAAAACTATTTTTCTGTGAGTTGTTAAAGTGTAAGACAGCTCTACTTTAAGACGCTTTGGTTACAAAACAAAATAATTGTTGAGTTTCATATTTTTCTTTTCAAAGCTCATTTTGAGTGTGAGTTTAGGGGTGAGTGTTCTTAGGGCTCTCCAATTATCCTCAAGTGTTACTCATTTGCCAGAGCCATCAGTTATTTTAGGGTGAAACTTACGAAATAACTTAGAAAATGTTTCAACAAATCTGAAAATAAAATTGATACACTGTTGAAAGATAATTTATATAGTTTATTCATTTATTGTAGCTTTCGAGCTTTCTGTATGTGAATTAATTTTAATTTCTTTTTCTTTAGGATAAGGCTGGTACATCTTTAATAATAAACAGTAAGTTGACTTGTAATGAAACAGTTGAAGTGCCTAAGGTCAGCAGAACTAATACCTATTCAGAAAGAAAAAGATTAAATGAAAATGAACTTCAACAAGATGAACCACCAGCAAAGAAAGGTACTATTTTGGCTGCCAGCAGGAGGCCTTTAAGAAAACTAATTCCTAGGCTGCTCT